TAAACATTTCAATCATGCTGTAAGTAGAGTAATAGATGTATAGATGTAAATAATAAGAATTTATTTATACGGTGACATGCTTTCACCAGCTTACATGTAGCCGTATGTTTCCTTCCACGTGACGTATAACTTAGAATATTTGCTTCCATCACCAACACCCTCACCCCCAACCCTTTCCACAAAACGATTGACATGTCAAGGTAGGTTTTTGAAATTTCAACTTAGTTTCTTGAACTTTAAGAAATCAAATGGCCGAATGGCCCTAAAACGATTCCGTATATAACCTTTAAACAGACAGTCGTAGTCATTGTGTGGAATGGTACCTTTGCCATCCTCGATTGTCTTGAGGTTTTATATCTCCAATCTATTATGGCAAACGCCCTGAACCCATATGCCACGATGTTGAACACAGCGAGCCAATCAAATTACTCCCATGGGCGAAAGAAATTCTGCGCTAGGTAAATGATAGGAGAGATTGATTCATTGATTGTCTCCCGAAACGAATCTTGAATGTGTCCAAGGTATTTATCACAAGAGAATTTTGATAACGGGACAATGGATCGTTGATGGGTATAATAGGATTTAACATTTTACGTTATTCGTATTTTGCAGATTTTGAATGTTAATCTAAAAATTTCAAAAGGTATTAACTGTTATACTCTAGTTACACGTTGGCTTTGTAATGTTGCACTGAAATACAGACTAGTTCATTATTAGTCATATTAAAATTAGGGATGTTCTTTAGCTACTTCACACACACACACACACACACACACACACACACACACACACACACACAGAGGATACATCTTTCTGCGTGAAGCCCTGACGTTACCCCAAAAGTGTGGTCGTATAAGCGTATAAGGTGATCTTCCCAATTAGCGTCGACGTTTCTAAATTCTCGGAACGACAGAGTAAAACATTCAGACGTTTATAGGATTTCTGTGTCTCGAAAACAAACTTAAAACATCGAATTCTGAATTTAAATATGATGGATGTGGATGTTTGAAGTTTGTTGTTAAGCGCCGCCCTCAGCAGCGTTCCAGCTTTATAATCGAGTCTGGTACTGACAGCCCGGTGTTCGACATCATGAGCATCGATCCACACAATGGGATATGAAGATGAGCATCAACCAAGTCAGCGAGCCCGACCACCCGATCCCGTTAGTCACATCGTACGACAAGCATGGGTTGCCAAAGACCAATTCTATCCCGGATCTTCACGCGTATATACCTGAAGCATAGGTAACGGAAGCCACAAAACTCTCTGCATGATCATAGGAAACATTTGCTGAAGAGTCCATGTGCTATTCCGACACTATTTGAATCACTAGCTAACAGTTATGATGACAAAAGGTGACCTTATCACCTTTGGCAACTGTCACAAAAACACGCAAATTCAAATCAGATGTTCACCTGAACAAATACGGTTCCAAACATGTGGTACAAGTTAGAATAAGGTGTTGCATCGGAGATCAGTTTGATCATTGATGCCTCAAATTCAGACATCTTCTCCACACAAACAATTTTGAAAACCTTGAATTATGTAATATTTAAAATTCTTAGAGTCCACCGAGTCACACTCAAACTGGGTAAACATCAGTTATGTGTATCGAAAAAGTGAAAACAACAAATCACATTCCTGAACACATATAAAATACCCCACCCCAAGACGAATAACCTCTGAACCAAACCCTCTTAATGAAATGACTATCAAATCGATATATTTAACACCTGATCTGCTTTTCAAATATGATAGTGAATTCCAGTCTATAATTCCAGAACGATTATCTCAACAGCCAACGATGGGGGTCCTAGTAAATAGTAGCTCCTTTAAATAACATGTCATGTTACAAAGCGCTTTCTGGGTGGTTTCAATGAAACTTGTCAGTGGTAATTACAATTATGACAGCCTGCCACTTCTCCCTAATGTGAATTGAGGCTCATGGATGACTACTCCTCTTTCCTATTTCATTTAAGTCCTTGAAGCAAGCTCGTGTGTCTGCCCAACAACCCTACCTAATTTATTCAAGCGGTCTCAGTTTGATTTTGCCACGAGGCAGGCCGCAGCCAAGGTGTGGGTGTTCTGCTTTACTGTAGCCCTCCTTGTGGAGGATGACTCTAACGGTACTCCGAGAACAAAAACAACTATTGCTTGTTGGAATTTCAGCGTATTTATCTCTGTAAAATTGTTTTAAGGAACGCAGCGTCAATTTAACTACTCGGAACCCTTAGGGGCATGTAAAACTACAAAGGAATATCTAAAATGGTACCATTTTAACGTGTTAAAACGCTTGGTTGGCATTGATAACGTCCACCGGTACACGGGATGCTGCGTCGTGGCAGGGAAGAAGCGATTGAGCCCCTATATCATGGCATTTTAGATTCCCGGCTGCCCGTTTCTGATTTCCGTTTTTCGCACTTTTGCCTGGATGACATTTCGCCCTATGTCTGGGGTGTTCCGGCGATAAACCCAAAGATTAGGAAGTGGACAAATAATTATTGTGGAAACAACGACGGGCAGACGCCAAAGTGGCGAGAAAACCTCCATCAAAATCCGAAGCGAAAAGGAAAAATATCACTCGTCAGTCAATTCCGCATCTTTCTCACCCGATTTCCTGGTTGAGCCAAGGTTTGGATTGAAATAGTATTGCTGAAATATCCTGCTGTCAAATTCGTAGTGTCATGATTGTCCTTTAGAAGAGATACGTTCGAATTGTTGTTGGGCCGTGTTGGTTGCAAGAACTGCACCAGGGAAACTCGATACCTGGCTTGCTGCTCAATTTGCATCAAATCTGCATTACGAATTTACTGGCATTTCCATTCCAGCCGAGCTTGTCTAAAGTCGTCGTACCAGCAGACGGGCATGTCAGCCTCTGGAAGTTGTTAAGGAATAAAAGTGGTTCGTCGACTAGCTCGACTAAAGGATATATCAGGATAGGCTTTGTTAATTATATCTGAAGACAGAAATCTTGTGGAGTGTGGTGTAAATATTTGCTAAACAAAATGTTTTAGACTGGGTTAAGAGTGAAACGTTTTTGTATAGTCTAAAGTATGGGAAAGTTATTTGTATTCTTCGTTTGACACCCAAACCCAGTAGAAAACCAAGCGATCTACACATGGCAACCACCTAATCACCATATTAAATAGTTGGCTCTGACTTCAGACATCGGACACCGATGTATTATATTTTGTCACCATACCCTGGAATCCCTACATGGGCTTTGAAAAAAGGAAAAATACAGAACTTGGCACAAGCACTAACGCTGTTTTGATTCCGAGACCACGTCCCAGTGAAAATCTTTGGGTCATTAATTCCCGTCCCCATTTATCACCCTTATTTGAATCAGCCATTTAATCACGTTTTCGGTTCGTTGGTTGTGTGCTAATATGACTGATAGATATTCTTCTTGCAGTCTGTTTCTATTTTCATCCTGTAGTTTTCATGTTAAATCTGGACATTTGGTTCAGTGCATAGAAAGTGTAGTCCTATTCTCATATCAGGTGCTCCAAACGTAAATATTCACCCGAACTGGCAATCTATTTGGTACACTGGAGTCACGGGTAGCCTAGACTAACGCTTAGTCTCTGAATATATGTAATTTTGATAGTAACAAACAAACCCATTGAAATTGAAAATGAGCCCCGGGGAGACCAGAGATTCAGTCTGAACCTAAGGAAATCAAGACTTGCTTCATTTATGGCTTCAGCACTGCAGAGAGGGCTTGGCAGTAGGTAAAATAATGTGGTTCAGGGACTGTGAGACAGTCTACTGGAGCTGTAGACTAACAACAAGTCTCTGAAATGAACATATTTTAATTGAAAAAGTTCATAGTAAAAAATAATATAATATAATGAAAAGGAGCCCTGAGACTTTCTTCATTTTCAGAGACATTTTCTAGACTTGCGTGGACTTTCTTGGATATATTTGCTTCAGGGTCTGTACGACAGACTACTGGAGCTGTTACATGCTCTGGAAAATGCCCTTTAGGCGTGCCAGTAACCTGTGATCATGAGTTCTAATCCCGCGTTTGCCCACATCATCAAAAACCCCTATTATGTTCACCAAGGTGGTAAGGCCTGCCTCAAATGACTTGGGAATATCCAAATGTAGAGTAATTGCATGAGAGTGCACGGTGTCAATCGGATGAAGTTGCTACAAGCATAGCTCTATTTAGGAGAGGTATGTGACATATATCCCAGACCCTAGCCTAGACAACCGCGGTCACTTATAACTAAAGGGGTCACTGTGCAGCCATTAAAACGTTGGCTCGTCACGCCGAGGGCCAGGGTTCGATTCATTCATTTGGGGCAATATATCTCCAAACCATTATGTGACTGAGTTGAACATGAAACAGAACGCACTAATTTCAATCAGGGTCGGATCTTGACTAATATGTTGGTAGAATAATTAACCAAATATATTTTTAAAATAAAAAGAAAACAGCAGAGTATGAAATATCTGGACTAAACATAGAAATATGAAAATATAGTGATTAAAAACAATTAAACTTTTCTTAAGTTTATTTAATTCAATAACTTTATGATTGAAACAATGCCAATGCGATTATAGCGTTTCACCTCCCTCACTCTTAATCCTAACCCTATGATAACAAGTTCATGTATTTCATATTTTGGTTTGACAGTGAACCTCAGCTAAACACCAACCGAGCCCAAATACATATGCCTGCTGCATCAACGTAACGATTGTTTATGTAATGCTGTTGTTCCGACAAACAATACTAGCATTATAATGAGCCACTAAGAGGTTATCTAGTAAGCGGTGTTTGCACAAACCTTTTCCACGGCGCTGATTAACAACCTTCAGTTGTCAAAGTTTATTCAGAGCTGTTTTTTGGTCTCTCATTATTTAGATACATTCGCTCATACACCTAACTCGATTTGTTTGAGGGACAGTGATTAAAAAGATTTCAAACTGGAGTAAATATTTGATTGACTAATTCGGCTCCCAAAGAAATGCATCCAAACATGAACAATTACTTAAAATCGATGGATTTATTTGGGCTCAAACACCGGGAAAGGAAGGTTGGATAAGATTGATGGTATTGGAAAGTGAGGGAGTAGTTCCGTTTCTGCAGATGGCATCTTTGAAGGTTCCCTACACAGCGATGTTTTCACGTTAAACTAATGCAGTTAAAAAGGCCTCACTCCGTAGCAGCACCACAAAAACAGGATGTGTTTTCCCGAGTTGGTCTTTCAATCGAGGCTGTTTGGATAAGTCAGTCGCCCAACCAATTTGACGTAGAAAAATCCGGCCTCTTCTCGTTTCTTTCAACAGTCTCATCTGCTGGCGAGCGCTGGAAATACAAAATTCGTTAATTTCTCGAAAATTAGTCAATAAAGTCTTGTGTTATCTGTGTAAATTCACGGACGTTTCATTTGGGTATCGCTTACGTCCTTGCAAATGAAATTATCCATGTCGTAAGCGGGTCTCAGCTGTGGACGTCGTTCACAAGTCTCGCGGCGTTCGTTAATGAGCGCGATCTGGGGGTATCACTTTCACGGGGGTAATCCTATAGGTGTCACCGGACAGGATGGCAGGGGCATCTCCAACGACGCACCGCCAAGTCGTAAATCACACCTCGTTTAGACTACCGCCATGACAGTGGATGGGGCCTCGCCATAAATCAGCCTTTGGCAAATAGGGGCAAGCCCTGTAGCTAAAGAATGCTTGCACCTCTTCAGTTACATATCTGTATATGCTGAAGGAATTACTGGTCGTGTACGGTAACTCAATCCGTGATTTACAGACAAGGGGTCCGGATTTTATGTCGTCCCTAAAGAGGGGGTTAGAATTGGTCATTTGTCTGCCCTGGTCATCACAATTTTACTGGTCATTTGGGACGGACAGAGCAAAGTATTACCCCACAAAGCCTGTGATTTCGAATTGTTCGAAACGCGTTATTATCTAGTCAGAATGAAGTATAGTATTTGGCGTATTTTGTGAATGTGAACTGGCGTGTCAAATCGTCCTACTACTAAAGGTCTCTTTAGCCGTGTCAGCTTATCCTTAAGACAACTTCTCTGATATATTGGCAGATTTCAAGACGGAGATGATCATGCACATTTAGAAAAGTGTTGGGTATTTCTTCGTCGGTCGTCAGACTTTTATTGTGGAGGATTTAGTGCCTGTCGAAATATGTTTGCGAGCTGAGACATATTCAACATGGCATTTGAGAAATTAAGCCATGGGATCCTACCATGTTTGAAATATGGAGAATTGCCAAAGACAGTTGGAAAAGTATAAGTATAATATCTGTCGTGTTTGATGTCCAATCACATCATGTTTACAATGTGAGAGATTTGCCTTCGTTGTGTTTCTGTGTGTGTCAGCACCCGTGTTCATGGGTTTTACCAAAGGTGTACACTTCAAAGACCGGGATCTTTTCCGGTTTTGCTCCCACATCAAGCTGGTATATCTGGAATATTGTTTGAAACATCATCAAACCAGACTCACAATGTGGGCTCGAGAGAGGAGGATGTCCTTCTCACGCAATTCTGGAGCATCCTTTCATATTCTGGCTTCCTTTTGCAATTGATAGGATAATTTCTCTTTCGCTATCAGAATTATACAGATCCCAAAATTCTGATTCAGAATAGAAGCCCATCTCCCATTGTTTGCTGTAAGATCGGAGACATAGTGTTCGGGTGGTTACAGTGTGTGATCTGGATGATTGCATGTGTCATTGTTCCCTAATGGCGTGGATCGTTGCTAAGATGTCCACAACTGGCGGGTTTGACCAAAGTGGTACAGTTGAAAAGAAGATGACTGAAGTAATATTCACTCACCCCTAAAACAATATTCCAAAAATATCAATCCACACATTGTAACAAAACTACGGGGGGTTTTGCTTGTCTCCCCTATGGATGAACATTGGAGGAGGAATATCACGGGGTGAATGACTTAATTTTATTCTTCATGACAACTTTCTGTGAGTAACCATTCTTTATCAAATGTATATGCTCATCCGCCTCGCCACGCCACGCCACGCCACGCCACGCTACACCACGACACGTCACAGATCCTATCCGCAGTCAACCCCACACACTACAATCTCACTTCCGCCTGTGATTCCAGAAAGTCCGCATCTTTATGTCAATCGCTGGGCGACTATCTCCTGGGGTTGCCACCAGTCTATATCTTATTATCTAACCTCTGGTGATCAATACCTTCAATAATGAGGATAGAGTCGTGTTCCCCTGTTCCAGCGACACCCGCATAGCACCAGGAGCGAAACAGAACATTTGTGTATTGCGGGTGCCTCCGGCCTAGCTCACACGATACCCCTTCTAATTACAATGTGCAGGGGGAATTAGGCTTGGGTTTCAAATCAGGATTAAACATCATCCAAAGACATTGACAAAAGTCATAAAATGCGCCAGAGTAATCTATAATTGAAACTGACGGTACGTCATACAGTTTGCAAGCTTCGCTTAAAATAGCAGTAGAGATGTTCCTTCATCGAGGTTTAACCATATCTGTGCTTGCTTTGACATTTATTTATGGATTGTACAGTTTTATGTGAATACGATATGTCCTTTATAATGTTCATCTTCCCAGAATGCTTGTCTCCTAATGACTGTAATCCTGGAATATACTGAGACTGATTAAATCATTTCTTGTTACACAAGGCCAAAATGAGAAACTTCATTTTTCAAAGGCAGGTCGTTTCGTGTTCGTTTTTTATATATGTTAATTATAAAAAGTACGTTAACAATTAAAACTTCGGCACATTTCCTAACTTTTACTAATTGTTACTTTTCAAATGATATTATTGCTGAAATATGAGTTATTCAATTTGATTCCCGTAATCTCTTCAGAGTATTGTATCACTAATGCTTCTTTTAACAAGTTATGTCATCATGAAATGGGCAAGGTTTGCAGTTGCACACAACTGAGCAAATGCAAAAATATTCACTTTAAGCGGCTCGAAGAACGTAAAGTACCGAACCCAAAACAGAAGGTGCATTTTACTCTGCAGTAACAATAATACATTTTTTATGTCAAACTGACAGAGTGATATGACTCATGTTTCAATAAAACCAAAAATAATCTTATCATAAAAACATAATCATCCGATAAATCGCGAACGCGACAAGGTCCCGTTGATAATCGACATTTGGCATCGAGGAAACAGACTAGCGTACAACAAAATACTCATAGCTCACATATTAGTCCAGTTGTAAATGTCTATGTTTATTTCGCGACATGCCCCATCTTGGTTCCATACCGCTTTACGTTATCTAAATCGCAAGGGGAGGTAATTAAGGAGACGAGCAGGTTCAAGACCACCAAATACTTACATAACGTGAATATATAACACATGTCATCTTCAGAAGCAAGTGGCTCTGATTTAAGACATCAAAGTTATCGCTGTTCTTTATGTATTATTTTGAGAGGTTTAATGCCTATTATACCGTTCAAGATAATTTATTCTCATAGTCCGAAAAATGACTTCGTGTGAGGTCTTTTCTGCATATAGCTCACAAGGATTGCATGTTACGCCATGAAATATACATCAACGGGAGAATGAATTACATCAGTATGCGTTACGAGAGAGCTTCTGGATCTGGAACTGTTTGTCCTGTTTACAAGTTCTTACAGCACTCCAAAATGAACTTTCATTTATAGAACATTGTTAAAAGAGGTTGTTAGTTCAGTGTACATCTTTGAGGGCATATTTACGAAAAAAACTATCGCATATATGAATAATATGACAATACTTATTTGTATAGTCATGTAGAATACTTACTTAATTACTTACTTACGTCGCACATGAGGCCGTTTTCCAACGATGTCTATCCTGGGCACATTGATGCACCTGTATGCAATATAGTCATACGAAAATTCGTAACAAAGGTACACACGCATGCACGCACGCACACACGCACATGCATGCATGCATACACGCACGCACGCACGCACACACAAAGGAATGTCTTTCTTATAATCAAAACTTAAGGATCAGTAGTAAAGCTGTACTAAAAGCATATTGTCTTTAATATCGAAAACATTGCTTGGAAGCTAACAGTGTCAACATGGCCTCAGTTGTGATTTTGCATTTCTATCCTGACTTGGGGAAATCAAAAACATATTTGCTGAGAATGGACTGTTTTGGGACTACTGGGATGGTACCATATGTACGCGATTGATGCTCGTGCCGTTGATCACTGGATTGTCTGGTCCAAACTCAAATATTTACAGACCGCCGCCATATAGCTGGAATATTGCTGATTGCGGCGTAAAACAACAAACCAAACCAAAACCATATGTACACTTAGAATGTGCTTTCAGGGTACATGTGCAAGGTTCAATGCACTACAACCAGCAACTTGTACTGAATAGCAAACATTTCTCAAGGTTATATCTGATCAAGGGAGCAAGGGTTTTCGAGTCCCAGCCATTGCAATTCGCGTTGTGCATGGTTACGTCCCTCAGGCGTGTCATAATCCTGTGCTAGTGACCCGTGAAGAAGAATTAGTCTTCAGCAACCCATGCTTGTCGTAAGAGACGACTAGGATCGCAGATTGGACTTACACTTCGTATCCAAACTGCGTAGATCGATGCTCATGATCTTGATCAGCGGATTTTCTGGTCCCGAATCGGTTATTTACAAGCCGCCACCATATACCTGGAATATTGCATATACGGTTAAACAACAAACAAACAAATAAACATTCTGACAGTTGGTATTCTTATGAGAGAGTTTAATCGTACCGTTGAACTTCTTATGTAAACGGGGAAAATTTCACTTCTATCTGAATGCTAAATTTGTCCTGATTATGATATGTGGGTTTCAACACCATACCCTCCACCAGGTTTCACCACTGATGTAAACGACGAAGACCATCGTCATTTCTTGATTTCCTCCCATATGTTGCTCAAATAGAACAGAAAGCGACAAAAGACACAAAGCGATCGATCAGATCCAAATGACACTGAAGTCACTACATAGTCTATTACCAGCTAACACACGACATTTTCGCAACGTTGTGAGAAGGTTGTAGATTGGTAACGTCATGACACAACGTTGTCACAACGTTAGTATTACGTCATTTTAAAACGTCATGTCACAACGTAATAACAACGTTGCAAATTTGCATTGAGGAAACGTTATGCTTTAGGCTCCTCACAACGTTATAACAACGTTTATTATAACTTGATGTTACGATAGAGTTTTCTGTAAAACCTTTCTCTTTGTGATTCCTTATACTCTATTCAGGCACAGATTCAGAAAACACACGACCAAAACAACATGCAAATTGACGAATAATCATTGAAGTGAATTTCTGCTTTGCTTCTTATGTACTGTTCACTACTGGGAAAACTATTTAACTATTAACGTAAATAGAACGTTAAGACAACGTAAAATACGTAAGCATCACATAACTTAACCTTGTGGCGACGTACAAATGACGTATGACAACGTCAGGCCACAACGTTGTGACAACATAAATGGGAGTCCACAGAATAACGT